GGGACGCCTCGGGTAATTGGGGGACGCCGGATAATCGCACCAGCACTCTCCCGAAGGAGATGGGGATGGCCGCTGCACTTAGTATTATTTTGAAACTACCAAGCCGAAATCAGGTATATATATATATAAGTAAATAAGAGCTATCTTCAGGGTAGGCGCTTGAAAACTCTAGTATCAACTGAAGATAAGGCAGCTTTTCGCCCAATGTAAATCCGACCTATAGCACTTTATGGGTCAATGTCCGTCGAGGACGTGGACGGTCATGGTATATATATATATATATATATATATATATATATATATATAATCATTTCATATATATATATATATATATATATATATATATATTAAAGAACATTTTTATGTTTAACGTTCTTTTTTATAGATACAAGTATTTAAGTAATCTCTTTTATAATAAACAGTATTAAATAACATTTAATTATAAACAGCATTTACTTAAATGTATTATAAAAAAAAAGAACGTTAAACAAAATATCTTTAATAAATAAATTGTCGGACTTTGTCCATTTATATATATATATATATATATATATATATATATATATATATATATATATATATATATAGAACAGTAAGATATATAATCCGGTGTTCTTTTGATATTGTTTATTTTTACAAAACAGTGCTCAATGGAAATTTACAGAGCATAAATATAAATTTACTGATTTATAATATGCTTTCTTCGCCACACAGTAATAACCATGTTTCAAAAACTGAAGCTAAAAACTTCAAATTTAATTATAAAATTAAATTAAAAGCATTACTTCTGTTTCATCTTCAAGCGAATTTTGGAATAACTTATTTTAAAATTTACTGGGATTTAAACGCAATTATAAATTCATAATTTTCTGTTTCCAAGGATACAGGGAAATCCAATCATTCAAAGAGGTGCAGTAGTGTGTTCATTTTTATTAACAATTGTTGTATCAATTATGAGTTACGTTCGAAAAAGAGGTTAAGTTTAGGGAGGGTAGGGGTGTATTTTTCAACGAATTTTGACATCCATTAAACGCATGTCGTCTGGTTTTTTTTATCAGCAAAAAGTTTTTCGTCATTTTTTTCGTACTTATATATATATGCACCCTCACTAGCTTAAAAGTCGCCCTATCGGGCAGCATTTAAGCTAGTAAGCGGATAAGCAGGAGTAGATGCGATAGGCAACAATAAACTACAGAAGAACTCAAAATTGATCGCTGCATTTAAATATTGCATTAATTTTTCAGCTTACCTTTTAAAAGGTCAACGATTATTCTTTTGGCGCCGCTTAATTTAAAGACAATTTGATGTACGTAGATCCATTAGTTTTCATACAAACAATTATATTTATTTCATGGGTGGCTTTCGCTGAATTTCGCAATGAATTTCAATTATTCCCAGATTTATTTCCAAGTTATAAAACTTGTTATGGGAAAAAGAATCGTCGCAAAAAATCGCATAAAAAATTGTAGTAGTGAAAATTTGGGAATCCATTATTTCAGGTTTGCGGGTTCGAGTTCGCGTTTAGGCCGTAATGTTTTTAATTTACTCACGGGGCAACCTGATTACAAAATGGTATATGTTGAGCTACGGCCTCTGGGGGTAAAGTTGAAAAAGTGTGATACAGTTAAACGCTGGCATTTGCATTTATTATATAGATACATATATCTTACTCTTGGTTGAAATGATTATATATATATATATATATCTTACTTATTATAAAACGCAGATTGTGTGTGTCTGTACGTTTATATATTGGATCGGATTTCCTACATTTTACAACCGATTTCAACAAAACTTCACAGGACTACGTAAAATTACCTTGTGATGGTTCTGAGAGCGCCCAAAATTGGAAAAACAATTGTTTTTACATGAAATCAATTTTAAAACACGATTATGTCGCCAGAATGAAAGGAGGACAACTCATATCGAGTTATACTTATTATAAAACCCAGCTTGTTTGTGTGTATGTGTGTGTTCGTTTATATATGGGATCGGATTTCAACCGATTTCAACCGATTTCAACAAAACTTCACTTTTTTTTTGGCAGGTAGTGTTTCTTATTGTCTTGCACACTTTTTTTTCTTTATTTTTACATTCAGAATGCTTCAAAAAAATTCCATTTACAAGACAATTGTTTATAATAAAATTCTATTCAATCGGTAGACTCATAACGATTGAAAATAAATTTTTGTTTGAGTTTGGGTTTGACCAATTCGTAAAAAAAAACTAATTAAGACATGCGTGTCCGTCAACCTTAAACAATAATCTTTGTCAATTTTATTTTTCAGTCTTTATGATGGTCGATACTTGATCTATCTCTTACTGTTACATCCCCGGGCAACGCCGGGCTCTAGTGCTAGTATATATATATATATATATATATATATATATATATATATATATATATATATAAAAAAACAGACCACTTCAAGGTTCCATGTAATAAATTATTTCACCGCAGCCCTTTTAAAAGACTGCGGATCATCAGACTTTACTTCCAAACAAAAAATGAAAAGAAAAAAGTGAGGAAGTGAGGGGGGGAAGACATGAGGGAGTTAGCAGATATTGACACATTTAAACGGTTAACTTAACGGAAGTTGTATATATATATATATATATATATATATATATATACCCACGTATAGGATTGGTGTATACGGAATAAATTCCAATAACCAAAAATTACTATTCTTAAAAGAGTGCTCAATACAGATTAAAGCGAATATAATTATTTATTCGAAAATTATAGCATAAGTATGTTATATAATCACTACAAAAATAGACATTTTGTTTCAACACCTCTGGTGTCTTATCAAGTGAATGTGTTGAAACAAAATGGCTATTTTTGTAGTGATTTTATAACATATTTATGTTATAATCTTCGAATAAATAATTTTATATATATATATATATATATATTGTCATCCACAGACAGACTGTTTCGCTGTATAACAGTTCATCAGTGTGACTAGACGTCCGGTTGACTCTAGGTAGGATCGAAACCCGGCTGAATTGGCGTAAGTCAGAGATCTTACACCTAAGCCGTTGGCACACGACAGAGAAGAAGGTGAATATTTAAGCGTATTTATTTTTAGATAAACACACAGTGACAGAGAGGACTCGATACGCTTCACCGAAGAGTCTTGCATTATTAGCGGTAATAGTCACTGTTTACAAACTCACATTCCCTCCCCAGAGTGCTCAACCGAAATAAATTTTTCAGAAGCATATATATTGTCATCCACAGACAGACTGTTTCGCTGTATCACAGCTCATCAGTGTGGCAAGGAAACCCGGCTAAATTGGCGTCAGTCGGTGATTTTACCCACACGGCAGGGAAGAAGGTGGATTTTTAAGCGTGTTTAATTTTAGATAAGTTTTGTTAAAAACGACTGACAGGATACTGAGGCTAAAGTTTTATTTAATTTTTCTTGTATTTGTATAATTTTTTTTTATTTTCTGGAAATAGATTATTTTGAAATTGTCCGAATGTTCTATATGTCCGAGAGCTTTCTTCTATACTCTAAGGATGATTTTATTTTTACTTTATTTTATTCAGTTAAAATCACTACTCTATCGCTGTTACTATTGCAGATGTTCGCACGAGTTACATTCCTTAGTTCCATCAGTTCAGACTTTCACAGCTAGAAACCGCCCCCCAAAAAAAATCATCCCCATTCTCTTTGAGAAGGAGTAAGTTCCAGTCAGACAGCTTCTCCCAAATAATTCATACTTTGTGGAACAAACTCCGTAGAGGATGCTTTCCTGGCAAATGCAATCATGTTCTCTTCAAGTTCAGAGGTCAAACGATATCTATACTACACGAAATAATGCTCATTTTTTAATATCTCTTTCATTCTCCCTTATAAAAATATCTCTCTCCGTAATTCTCTAGCGTGAGCGGCCCTCGGGTATTGTATTAGGCGAACTAGATTAATCGTCGTGGGCACATAGATTATTGAGCTTTTAGTTAATTTTCATTTGAGTAAGGTAATATTCATTGAAATAAATTTAAGTGGCTCATTTATAATGTATTTTTAAAAAAAAAAACGGAATCAAACTTATGCCACTAAAATACAAGGTGTTACAGGGTGTAGAAGAGAAACAATAATGATGAGCAAAAAGAGAAGGGAATAATCAGGTGGATAGTAGATAGAGATTGACTTTGGGCTTAATTTTTTTCAGATTGGTTGGAAAGCAAGGAGCCCAGAAGGGAGTTCCACAAGAAGTGCGAGAGAAGAAACAAAAGACGTACGACTAAATCTAGTCAGCTCAACTCTTAATTGACGATATCTCGACACCAGTCTAGTGATCCGCTGCAATTAAAAAAAAAACAAAAAAACAAACAAAACTAGGTGTCATAACGAAAATGCAAAGCATGCAGTGAAAAGCTGGAGCGTTTATCCGCTTAACGTGTAAAAACCTTTTATATCGTTAATGTAGATTTCTTTGAAATAAAATTCACGCAACTGTAGCGATCTATCAGAGTAGAAGTTTTCGAGACTGTCTTCTATATTTACTATTCCGTCGAATTCTCATTCCGTTTTAATATGCACTGTCGGCTGGGATTTCAGAATACGCTGAATGCACCTCTTCAGAGCGGCAAGACCTCCTCCTCCGCCCCAATGAGGCGCCTTGGGTAAACTACATCCGGCTACAAGGCCCTCTGTTCAGGAGGTTTGAGGTGCGTGGGCCCGCTTCTTAATTACTGGTGTTCCCAGGTCCAAGATTACACGGGTTGCTTGCACGTGTTAGAGTCCCAGATATGGGCAAATAGTTAACCACAACTTGGGGTCAAAACACTATGAAAATGTAAAAATAGGTTTTAATACCAGCACTACAATTTTGAAAACGAAAAATATTACCAGCAATAGATTTTTTAAAAATAATTACCAGCAATAAAAATTTTATCGGCATTAAATAATCCATTGAAGTTGAGGTGTTGTAAAACAAAACAACTTTACACACACACACACACACATATATATATATATATATAT